TTCAGTCCTTGATTGGCTGGCTCCATTGTTCTCAGGCCTGCGGGAGGGTCACATCTGGGTAGAAATGGTGGCCAAACCCAGCTGCTCACCTCCCAGCAGCCATACAACAGAGACAAGGACAGGGGCCAGGCAGAGCCCCCAGGGTCATATTCACATAATCCACTTCCTCAAGTAGGCCCCACCCCTACTTCCATCACCTCCAGTAATACTATCAGATCGTGATCTCTGCTGTGGGTTAATCCACTAACTACAGCCCTCAGGATCCAGTCACCTCTCTGGGCCTCAACTCTGAAAAGGGATGCGGGGGAGCAAGCCCTCACTACTCCAGTCCCTGGGGGAACACTTCACACTGAGACCATAACAGGGGGCCTGTCACACAGCTCAGAAGATCAAACCTCAGCTTGCTTGTTTTTCAAACTCCTGCCCCACCTGCTTGTAGGAATTAACTGAGATAATATCTTTTAAGTGGCTGGCATAGGGCCAGGATCCTGTACAAGCTCCTAGCCTCACTACCCACCAACAGAGATGCTCTTCTAGTAGTGGGAGAGGAGAGGTGAGGCAGTGGCAGTGGCAGTCTGTGGGGCCTCCCGGAAGGAGGCAATTTAGGGTGGAGGAGTGCCTTGCTGTGTGTTGTAGGGCAAGGCACCAAGGTCTCTTTTTCTGTCTGTAGAGTGCCTGCTAGCACCAACCCTTCCTTCTCTGGGGTGAGAGGGAGCTCCTCTGAGGAAGGAAAGATTTGTAAAGAGCAGGTATGATCCACTAGTGGGCTGGACATTATTACTCAATCATAGCAGGCCGAGCTCCACAGAGCTGAAGGTTCACCTCGCCACACCAAGGAGCCGGGCAGTCATCCATACCCAGTACAGGCTGGAGGAGGTGTGTACCCCTTTTGGGGCCTGTGTGGAGCTGGAGTGGGGAGAGGTTTTCTGTGCTGCTTGGCTAACTCCTCCCTAGGAAGCCCACTGAGGGCAGATCCTTCCTTCTCTGCCTCACCCACTGTACCTTCTACCAAGACACCAGGACCACAGTGCTCCTAATCCAAGGGGACTCCCAAGGCAGTGCTAGTTAAGGGTGGCCTTTGCTTTAGAGCTTCCACGGCGACCCTTGGGGCAGAGGACGGGGCCAGGCAAAGCTTTCAATAGTGCAGTCACCAGACCCCCTAAAGAGCTCCCCATTTCCGAACATCCCCCCCATGCATGATGCCCCACACTCAGGGCCCCTGATTTAATGCCTTTCTTTGGCAGTCCAGGATGAAAGGAACAGCAAACCTTAGATAAATGGCATGTGGCATTGGGAGGTGCTCCTGAATTAAGATCCAGAGGAGCTGCAGAACCAAAGGTGGCTTGTCCTCACCAGGCTGGGTCCCACTTGGCTTGGAGAGATGGGAGAGACCACCAGGCACACCTATGCACACAATCTGAGCATCCCAGACCCCAAGAATGAGGACAGTGCCCTTTTCCCTCCTCACCCAACACCAGCAGGGCAGGGGTAGGCACGCGGAGCGTATAGGAAAGGGCTCAGGCTGGAGCTAAGGTGTCAGCATAGTGTGTCCCTAAACTGTCTATGCAAGGATGCACTTGCCTCACACCAAGGTGTGGCTGCAGGAAGACCCCCAGGCTGGGTGCCAAAAAATCTAGGATTTTGTCCCAACCTGCAAGTGACCTTCGGACAGAGAGCCCCAATCCTCCAAGTCTCCTCTCAGATCTTTCCAGACTCTAAAATCCTTCCAACTCCAAATGAGGTGACACCCTCCCCTCTCCTGGGTGACCTCACTTCCTCTTCCCCCTCCCACCTGAGCCCAGCCCCTCCTCCTGCTCCAGCTGCTTCCCCCCTGGGGCACCTGTGGCCAGGCTGTTCTGCTCTGACTCAGGTAATCTGACCTTCGTTTTGGAGGAGGTGGCCCAGCCGCTCCTGCTCCCTGAACTTGCCCTGACCTTTGTCATGTCCACCTGCCCTCCCTCTCTCCCTCACCATAGGCATCTGTCCCCAGGCCTTGAGTAGCCCCAGGACTATGGGGACCAGAGAAAGGAGAACACTGGGGAAGGGGTGCTCATCCACAATCAAGGGACCAGAAGTGCCCAGGCAGGTAGCCTGCTCCCTGCACCCCTTTTTTTTTGAAGCAAAACATTTATTGGTACATTTTAGATATATATAATAACATTCATCGTAGGGAATTTGTACCTGTACATGAAATATCTTGCTTCTTTTTTTTCCATCCTTCCCTTCAACCACTCTTCTCCTTATTTATAAATGTGTTTTCTATTTTTCTTCTATTTTTTCCTCATCCTTTCTTACGTCCCCCCACCCTTGTTCCCCTTCTCGTTTGAACATTTGTCGCGAGCACCGATTAATGACTCGGGATCACGGGTGTCGCTATCGATGACTGCCAAAACGGTTTCGGTTTCAACAATGGTTTTAATGTCAGTCACACAAATACAAGCCCAGATCAGGGCAAATAATAGAATTGTAACACCAATATAGAAATAAGTCCAGCCCATAACCTTTCGAGGAATATGAGCAGGAGCTTGTAGCCACCTATCATTAAAGAGTCATAGGAGGGCATACGACCTGTCCTTAGTGTTCTCAGCAGTCGGGCGTCGCAGGGTCGAGTCGCGACGTGCGGTCTCGGTGTGGCAGCGGCGTCTGGTCTTGTCTCGCTGCTCAGGCTCAGAGAGGTCTGGTCATCCTGACGGTCGGTCGAGGACGGACGATGTCTGGCTGAAGTCTTCTCCTTTTATACTCTTGTTCATCTCTATCTAATACACTCAGATGTTCTATCTAGGTTCACGCCTTAACACTCTGGGTTACATCATTAATCACTTCAAACATTTAATCACGTGTCACGGCAAATGTCACTGCAAACTCTTATCTGTCCTAACACTCAGTTTCACTTTAGTTTCACTCTATTTTTGTGGGGTCTTAATATTCTGGTTACATGTTCACTACAACATTTCCTTCCCATTTCCCAGTATGTATTATACATTTTGGTCCTTAGTTACACTTCCGGCTTCTCACACCAGAAAAACAAAGTGGTATTTAAACATGTGTGTCTGATTTATTTCACTTGAGTATGGTCTCAAGCCCTGCACCCTTCTCTGCAAGCACTATTTTTTTTTTGTTTTGTTTTGTTTTTTTGATACAGAGTTTCACTATGTAGCGGAGACTGACCTGGAATTTACTATGTAGCCCAGGCTGGTTTGGAACTCACAGCAATCCTGCTGCGTCAGCCTCCCGAGTGCTGGGATTACAAGCGTGTGCCACCACACCTGGCAAAATCTTTTTGCCACGCTTTTTTTTTTTTTGTACCGGGGATCGAACTCCAGTCCTTGCACTTGCGAGGCAGGAAGCGGAACCACTGAGCTGAAATCCTGGCCCGCAAGCACCATTCTTGCTGGGGACCTGTCCAGCCTCCTGGGATACACTGGCAGGGATGTGTTCTTGTAGGAAAGGTCCAGCGATACCCACCCAGGACACTCGGCAACCCCTTCCCGGAACCTTCCTTCCTAGCCCGATCCTGGGATGGGAAGAGCACCTTCCTAAGAGGGCTGACATACCCACCTCTGCAATGCGCCCTGCAAGCCCCTCTCCAACCCCCCTAACACAAGCAGTCCTACTCAAGGCAGTCAGAACTTATTACGTGCCAGGTGTTTAAGACCACCTCTGGCAACTACACCGCACTAGGTCACAGAGTTACAGTGTGACAATGGACACTCAATGTAGCTCGAGGACCCGGCGAGTCAGCGTAGCCGCCCACGCGGATCTTCGTAGGGAGCAAGGCCGAGGCGCCCTGCACTGCTCGGCCACCCCGGGG